GACAAGCGCAAGGCAGCCACAAACACGAAAAGCTGACCCAACACCAGGGGACCCAGTCCAAAGACTGGTCGGTGAAGCCTCTAGCCGCGAGACGCGCGGCTGGAGGTTCAGCTGGTGAGCGGCGTAGCGAATCGCGTAGGGCCACAAAAAATGGGGCGCACGGGCATGAATCATGGACGTGCGGGCGATGTCCATGACCAAGCCAATGCGGTGCTCAGCAACCCCATTCTACTGTGGGGACCTCGGCAGCGTCCAGGACTGTACGATGCCCTGCTCGCCGCAGAATCCGGCAAGAATGCCTGAGCGAAAATCACCCCCACCGTCAGAGTGGAGACAGGAGACACGACGGCCACGCGTACCCTCAGTGTGGAGGCGGGGGACCGACGGGTGGCCAAGACGGTGGTGCCACAGGACGGTCCGGTGGGTGAAAGACCGACACGAGCAAGACACAGCAACCTGTCCAGACGCGACAACCGGAGGGGACGCAACTACCTGACTGGACTCGACAACTAGCGGAGGCGCAAGAACCTGGGGGGATGCAGCGACCTGAGGTGACGTGGACACTGGGGAGTACTCGGTGTGGAGGACGTAGAGACCGGAGCGCGACTCCCTGGTGAACGTGGCCAAAACTTTGCCAGTGATAGCGTCCGTATAGACTGCAGTCCACCCACCCCCCACAAAGGTAACAGTGACCCCCCTGTCCTGGAGGTATCCAACACCCACCAAGTTCCGAGTGAACGAGGGGATGTGGATGTTACGAGACTAACTTAATTTAACGAGCTGGTGCTTGGTGCTAGCGGCTGGCGCTGGTGCTGGTGCATGGTGCTGGCATGACGGCGCTGGCAGGGTCTCTGCTGGTGGTGTAGATGCTGGCGGGGTCTCTGCTGGCGGGGTCTCTGCTGGCGGTGTCGCTGCTGGCGGGGTCTCTGCTGGCGGTGACGCTGCTGGCGGTGGCGCTGCTAGCGGGGTCGCTGCTGGCGGTTCCGCGTGTTCGCTTGCTGGCGGGCTTGTGGGTCACGTACGATCTGGAGCGTGTACTGGCGGAGCAGTAGCTTCTCCCGCCATTCCCGCCACGCCCTCCATTCCCGCCACTCCCTTCACAACAGCTGCGAAGTCAACAGGAGGGCGGGCGGGGACGGAACGGGACGGGACGAAACGCGGGCTGGCGCTGATGCTCAAGTGACGGCCGCCACCCCTTTCCCCTTCTCCTCTCCCCCCCCCCACTGCGACCGTCGATGTTTCCACGCCAGGGAGCCGCGACGAGGCAGCGTGACGGGGAAAGGCGACGGGGAACTCAGTGGCGGGTCGAGGGGCCGACGGAGGGGGGGGGGGGGGGAAGAGCGGCGGCGCGAAACAGCGGGTCGACAAGCGCCGTCACTCCCGTCGCGATCGTTGCGCCTCTCATGACTACCGTGACGGATTTTGCTTCGGGCGAGCGACGGGGAAGGACGGACGGAGCCGCGATTTGCTGATGACGGAACGCGCCATCGCGAAAGCCAATGGTGGGCACTTAGTAAATTAGGTCGGGAACGACCTAGCTCAATACCATGTTACGAGACTAACTTAACTTAGGAACCGTGTTTAACTAAGGCCTGGGCTTAGGAGCCTAGGCCACGAGTGTCGAGTAGTTTGTGCCAAGGAGAAATGTCGAAAATGTGTGTTGTTCACTATAGCACACAAGGTACATGTGGCAAACTAGCAAGGGTGCACCACCAACAGAATGTATAACAAACTACACCTACAGCTACATGCACTTATAGATAGATAATATATCACGATAATGGAGGCCGCGCAGGACACCAGAGGGGACCACAGGGCACGGGAGGGTGGTAGAACTGCGTGCCACGGCTGGTCATGAGGACGGATCAGCCAGGGCTACCGGTACAGGAGCAAGGAGCGGTGTGAGTGTTGTGTGGTCGCGGAAGAAGCACTGCGACGCGCCAGAGTCCAGCGTGAAAGACAAGGACGCCACAGACTGTGGTGAACCCGGTGTGGAAGCTACACAAGCACCTAGAGCAGAAACACAAGCACCTAGACTGGAGACGCACAAGTCTACGCTAGTAGGAGGCAAGCAAGCTAATCTACGAACACGCGAGCACACAGATCCATCAGCACTTTAGTCAACATCAGCATACAAAGCATACTGACGAGCATCATCCACAGACAGATCAAAGATATGAATCTTACGGGCTAACAGGTGAGCCCAGTGCGGAGTGGTCGCCTTAGGGCCCCAACGGGCACGGTAGAGGTCGTCGAGGCGGCGAAAGCACTGTGCGGCAGTCGTTGCGGCCGCAGACACAGGGGCTGCCCGGTCCGGTGAGGCACCAGTGGTCACAGGGGTCGGTGTCACGGCGGGGGGGGGGGGGGCGAGGGGCTTAGCTGGAACTGCTGCTGCTGCGGCCGGAGCTCCCTGGTCCTCCCGGACCCCACTGCGGTGGGGGGCCCCAGTGCTGCTGCGGACCCCACTGCAGTGGGGGCCCCCAAGGCTGGAACTGCTGCGGTGCCTGCTTCTGCTGCTGCTGTCTCTGCTGGTGCTGCTCTCTCTGCTGTGGCTGGTGCTGCTCTCTCTGCTGTGGCTGGTGCTGCTGTGGCTGCTGCTGCTGAGGTCCGACACCCCCGCCGGTCTGAACACCGCCAGTAGGCGGGCCAGTAGCGAGGCGGTCAGGGAGGCGTGTGACTAACCAGTGCACAGTGAGCCACATGGGGGGGGGGAACAACAAGAAGCTGGGCATCGGTGCAGACCGCACGGAAACCGGCGTCAAGTGAACGCAGGTGAGTCACGAGGTCGGACACAGTCGCAAACGAGCCAAGGTCGGGAAACACGAACGGCATGAGGAGGCGACTGAGGGAGGCAGAGGAAGGGGTGGAATAGCGCGCAACAACAGCATCCCAAATCCCCTGCACAGTCTCAACCTGGGCAAAGTGGACGGCCTCAGTCGGTGGGGGGAGCTCCGTCAGCGCAAGAGCAGCGGCAGCGTCGCGAGAGTCCCACACGTCCCTTGCCAAGACACGACGGTCGTAGTCCGCTTGAGCCGCAGGAGTCGGCTCTGGGGCGGTCGGGAGGGGGTCGGGAGGCAGGGGCGCCTTGAGGGCACCAGAAGCGTGGGCCCACAGGGTGGCGCTGTCCTGACGCTGACTGGTGAGGTGGCGCGTGGCCTGGCGCTGCCAGGTACTGAAATCGATTGGGCGGCCCTCCGCATCAAAACGAAGGCAGTGGGACTCCATGCTGGAGGCTAGGCTAGAGGCGGCTGGAGGCTAGGCACTAGGCTAGAGACTAGTCTACAGAGGGTCACCAGGGAGAGGAGCGGCTGCCAGCCACTGAGCAGAAGGCCAGTGACAGTAGGGACGGTTCGGGCCCGGTGAACATGGCGGTGGAGGGGTTAATCCTAAAATGACCACGAGCTTGGTGAGAGTTTGGGCCAGGCGACGCAGGGCGAGGGCTAGTGTGAACGGGGGAAAGGGCGTGGGCAGAGGGCGGGCTAGGCGCTGCCTGGGGCGCGGGCTGGTGCAAGGGCAGGGCGCGGGCCTGGGCGACGGGCTAGGGCGAGGGCCTTGGCGACGAGCTGGGGCGCGGGCCTGGGCGACGGGCTAGGGCGACGGGCTAGGGCGCGGGCCTGGGCGACGGGCTAGGGCGCGGGCCTGGGCGACGGGCTAGGGCGCGGGCCTGGGCGTCGGGCTGGGGCGCGGGCCTGGGCGACGGGCTAAGGCGACGGGCTAGGGCGCGGGCCAGGGCGACGGGCTAGGGCGCGGGCCTGGGCGACGGGCTAGGGCGCGGGCATGGGCGTCGGGCTAGGGCACGGGCCTGGGCGACGGGCTAGGGCGTGGGCCTGGGCGACGGGCTAGTGCGACGGGCTAGGGCGATGGCCTGGGCGACGGGCTAGGGCGCGGGCCTGGGCGACAGGCTAGGGCGCGGGCCTGGGCGACGGGCTAGGGGCGCGGGCCTGGGCGTCGGGCTAGGGCGCGGGCCTGGGCGACAGGCTATGGCGTGGGCCTGGGCGACGGGCCAAAGCGACGGGCTAGGGCGCGGGCCTGGGCGTCGGGCTGGGGCGCGGGCCTGGGCGACGGGTTAGGGCGACAGGCTAGGGCGCGGGCCTGGGCGACGGGTTAGGGCGCGGGCCTGGGCGACGGGCTAGGGCGCGGGCCTGGGCGTCGGGCTAGGGCACGGGCCTGGGCGACGGGCTAGGGCGTGGGCCTGGGCGATAGGCTAGGGCGACGGGCTAGGGGCGCGGAGGGCGCTGACGCATGGAGGAGGAGGGCGCCAAGGCGCGGAGAGGGCGCGGAGAGGGCGCGGAGGGCGCGGAGGCTAAGGCGCGGAGGGCGCGGAGGGCGCGTGCTAGGAATGAACGAGGAACTAACCTACTCGTGATACCATCTCAAAGTAGGAATGCAACGGAATGATGCGATTAGGAATGTGGGTGATACAAATAGTAAACCCTAACTGAGTTGTACTCACTAAGGAGCACCTCACTACAGCCTATCACAAATATCAACATTTGACAGCTATGCGCTTATTATTCATACAGGCAATATTCGAGGTGTTATATATAAATTTACTATACAATTGCAAAGAATCTTCTTATAAGCTTCAGCAGTGTCTTACTGCATCAGCACGTGTGCAGTGTAGGAGTCAGCAAATTTCTCCACGCAAGTGGCGCTGACTCGTCCGTTCAATGAATTTCGTTCGGACATTTTCAACACCTCGAACATGGTGCTTTCCATACCGAAACCGAACCAGCCGTAACACTCTCTACACCAATCACATACCTGAACTAGAAGATCGAGGTGCGGGACCGTACCTGAAGGTCATACTTCTGCAGAGTTGACTAGTCGTTGCGTGCAATCGCAGAGAAGCTATAAATAGCCATCGCACAAACATTTCAGATCATCAACATCCCCTTCGACCTCTCAACAACTTCAGTCACAACAATTTTCACTGCTACATTGCAAACAGGTTTTCGTCACGCACTCGAAGCCCGTTTCCTTATTCGCAACCCCCAGCCATGGCCTCCAGGACACTGCTTCTTGTATGCGTCACCTTCCTCGCAGTGACGTCTGCCTTCGCGCAGCGCGGCCCGCCTCGCGGAGGCCCGCCCGGCGGTCAGGGGCCGCCAGGGGGACGGCGCGGCGGAGGTCCTGGCGGGCGCGGCGGGCCTGGCGGTGGCCCTGGCGGAGACCCACGCGGTCCTCCGCTGAACCTGACGGCCGTCGGAAATCTAACGGCGGACGTTGGCGCCCAGCTGAAGAATTGCTCGGCGGACCCGACCTTCGTTGACGGCCGCTTCCACCTCACCGTCTTCAAGTAAGCCTCGCCTCCACCCATCCCCCCGCCCTATTCTTCTTGCCGTGTTTAAGAAGCCGAGCCCGTCTTGTGTAATGCGCCGCAAAAGGTGACACGAAGCGGGGCCTTTCTCTTTTCCCGTCCACTCGTGCCATGAGCCGGTCACTCAACAGAATCTCATCTCTCTGCCTTCCGCACCCTCCTTCCCGCCCCGTTCGTCCCCGCAGGAACTCCACGGGCAACTACAACCTCCTCGTCGACGCGCTTCTCGTCGGAAACGACGTCGCCGCCGGCCCGCCCGACTCGATCGCGATCGTGCAGGGCGCCGTGTGCGACTCGGCCGCGTCCGCCGCCGCCGTGCTCTCGCTGCCCTTCGCCGCCTCCGATTGGCTGCAGCGCGCCGGCTGGTGGCTGCTGCACGCGGAGGCGCGCCTCGACGCGTTCCTCGAGAACGCCGACGCGACCACCGTCGACGCGCTGCTCGCGCTCCTCCCCAACGCGTCGCTCCCGCGCAGCAACGGCGGCGGGCGCAACGGCGGAGGCAGTTCCGGGGGCGCAGGGGGCGCGGGAGGCGCGCGGAACGGGCAGGGCAGCAGGCGCTTGGGGCTGGACGTGGGGAGGGTGGGGAGGATGCTGATGCGCGCAATGGCCCGCAGCCCCGCCAAGCAGGGTGGGCAGCAGCAGGGCGGGCAGCAGCAGGGCGGGCAGCAGCAGGGGGGTAACGGAGTGAACAGCACGGTGAGCGGATATGCTGTGCTGGCTGGGAACAGCGCGTCGAGCGTCATCTGGGGCGGGCAGCTCCTGGGAGTCAAAGCCCCCTCTGCTGCTGCTGCAGCGTAATGTGAAATCTGTGAAATCCCCTCTGCCGCAGCTGCAGCATGATTTGCCAATGCTGGACAGGAGTGGCGGAGTGTGACGGTGTGGCCGAGATTCCACTGCTTCAAGTCATGGAGTATGGGCATTTGACTTGGGGTTGAAGTGGGTGCTGAAATGGTTAGTGTTGTTAGTGTGTAGTGTGCATGTGTGGGTTCTGAGCATGGGGGCAGGAATGCTGGCAAGCTGCAATGACCTACCTTGCCAGCATTCCTGCCTCTGACAGCTCATGAGCACCTCTTAGATTTAGTTCCCCCGTTGGAGTTGGAAATGAGAAATTCAGAGCTTCGCATCATCACCGCTACTGGCCCAACTAGAGCCCCTTGTTTAAAAAAACAATGACGGCTACAGGGCACAGTGAACATAGTACAGGGTTGGTCGACTAAGAGTGTCTTTCAGCAGGGTGAACTGTGAGGCAAACTGACGAACCAGGCGAAGTGACCAGATGTCAGTGGGAAGGATACGTTGGTACTACTGACACCATGAGCATGAGCTGTTGGGCAAGGCGAATACGGTATATACTTTAGTCCCCTTGGCAAGGGGGTGCAGAGTCACAAATGAGTCTGTCCGCCCTTCTCATGGTGAATGGATTAGCCACGAGATCTAGCTATTGTGGCGGAGAGATCAGAATCACGACTGAAAATCATGACGCGTAAAAATCTTCTTCTCTGACTAGAGTATTCGACGACCAATTTGTGTTCTAAACTTTCGATAATCCGAGAGATGATCGCCGGACCTGCCGGAGGGGAAATAAGTCGGCACGCAGTGCAATGCGTTTCAAGTCTAAGGCTACACTGGACTAGCTCATCTCGCTGAGCCTCGGACCGACAAAGAATCTTGTTCTCATCGTTGTTCTCATCGATGTGCTGGATTGCTTCCCGTAATACGTTGCAAGCCGTTCATCCCGCTCTTGACGCCCATCGCAGTGATGGAAGTACACACTTAGGATAATTGCTGAAGCAGATACGTCTCAAAGTAAGAATGCAACGGAATAATGAGATTAGGAATGTGGGTGATACAAATAGCAAACCCTAACGGAGTTGTACTCACTAAGGAGCACCTCACTACAGCCTATCACAAATATCAACATTTGACACACCCCCATAGGCTAGGTGAGGGACATCAAAGCAAGCAGGGTGAACAAACGGGCACAAGACCAGTCAATGCAAGAAGCAAAGCAAGCTCAGGGTGGATCTCAATGACACCACACAAATTCCGAGCACAAGCAAGCGGCCACAAGGCCAGTTCAAGAGTTCACTAGGATATATATAATAGCAAAGCACAACAAGCAGAGCAAGCAATAAGGCTATAGCAACCGAGGGCCTGCCTCAACAAGCCCTAAATGCACACAGAACCGCTGGTGATCACCAGGCGCCAAAGCCTTGGTGAAGAGGTCAGCAGTGCTGGCCTCTGAGGCCACAAAGACCAGGCGCACCTGGCCGCGTCGTTGTAGCTCACGCAGGAGGAAGTACCAGACATCGATGTGCTTTACCCTGGTCTCCAGTCGAGGCTCGTGTCACAAGAGAATCATGGCCTTGTTGTGAGCGAACAAGGTCGGAGCAGCGCAAGGTCGCTCACCAAGGTCAGCGAGCAAGAAGGTCAACCAACGAAGCTCCTGAGCCGCCATAGCACCGGCGTAGATCTCTGCCTCCGCACTGGACGAAGCCATCGACGACGACCGTGTGGACCGCCACGACAAAGCCTCAGCTCCCAGACTGAAACAGTAACACTGAGTCGAGCGCTGAATCTCCACGTCGTCAGCGTAAGAAGAGTCACAGAGGCCAGTCAGCTCAACTGTGAGGCAGCCAACAAGCTCTGGGTAGGGACCACTGGGCTCAAAGGGCTCGTCCGGGAAGGGGCCGGTGAGTCTGTGGTCTACAGCAAGAGGAGTGGGTTGTGTAGTAGAGAACTGAAACCCGAACCGTTGAAGGACCTGCTGCACCATGTGTGACTGAGTCAACGTGATGGTGCGAGCGGCTCTGTCCCTTGTGATCTGCAGGCCAAGGTAGCGCTGCAGTTCACCAAGGTCAGTGCACGTGTGTCTCTTCTGCAGTTCGGACTTCACCTCAGCCAGAGCTGCCCTGTCTGGTGTAGAAAAGACCAAGTCGTCTACATAGACGAGTATAAAGAAAGGAGTGGAGCCGGCATGAACAAGCAATGACGGGTCAGCAGAGGAAGGGCGATCCAGGCGGCCGCTTCACCTTGAAGAGCCACATACCATCGACTGCGTTCGCCCGGGGAGGGGGAACTGCGTCGACGTACGTGCATGTGGATCTCCAAGACGCCAACTCTGAGTCCATGGCCACCTTTCACTAAGAGGCCCACGGCCCTGACACAACCTCACGGTACGTGCGAGGAGTCGGTATGTCAAGGGCGTCGGGATCTCCCTCAGGGGAAAGCAGCATGGCATAGAGAGTGGGAGAAGCGGCTGCCAGGTACTCCAGCTCATAGTGCCTATCCTCTAGGACGTCACAACCAAGGGACACCAGTGGCGAGAACGCGGGAGACAACAGGGCGAACATCACGATGGTAGTTAGAGATAGGATTAGGGGAGACAGGAAGAGAAGACGAATGAGGAGACGGAAGAACTGACACCGGAGGAGGAGAATGACGAAGAGAGGTACAAAGGAGGGCAGTGTGGAGGTCGGTAATGGGGGACGAGGGACGAGCACTCGGAGGACAAGGACGGGAACGGTAGTGACGGACAACAGGAGGAGGAGACTGCGGTGGAGGAGAAGAACAGACCGCCGGACGGGCGTCAGTAGGAGAAAACGTAGGACCAAACGCAAGAGGAGACGGAGGGCGGATATGAGGACAGGAGGGAAGACCAAGGGCCCGGAGGCCACTCACGGGCGGGAACATTTGCCTCTCCAGAGGGAGCTGCTGCGGCTGTGGTGGCGGCGGCGACTGCTGCTGTGGCTGCGGCGGCCGCAGCTGCGGCTGCGGCTGCTGCTGCTGGTGCTGCTGCTGCCGCTGCCGCTGTTGCTGCTCCAGCAGGTCCAACTGCCACAACTCCTGCCGCTCCCGCTCCAACCGCTATTGCTCCTCGCGCGCACGCCGGCAGGCCGCTTGGTAATGCGTGTCATGGCGGTGGAGAGGCGGAGTGCTCTTCGCATACGTAGTGCCCCCAGCTTCAATCGCCTCAGAACTAGCACCCCCAGAACCAGTGTCCCCAGAATGGGTACCAACAGGGTCAGGGTCCCCAGCTCCAGCGCCCCCTGTCCTAGCACACCCAGTGCCAGGACCTCCAACTCAAGCACCCCCAGAATTAGCACCTCCCGTGCCAGCACCTCCAGCTCCAGCATCCCCAGAACTAGCACCTCCAGTGCCAGCACCTCCAGCTCCAGCACCCCCAGGGCTATCGCCACCTGCGCCAGCACCTCCAACTCCAGCATCCCTCGAACGAGCACCCCCAGACCAAGTACCGCCAATGGCTGCACCTCCAGCTCCAACACCAACCGAGTCCGCAGTAACCTGTCGCGGAAGTGCCGAAGGTTGCTGAGGGGATTGTGAGGAGAGTGCGGGGAGGGAGACGCTACCTGACACGCGGCCGAGGGTAGAGGGGTAGCGTGATAGGGCAGGAACAGGGGGGGGTGCGGGTACCGGAGGAGTGAGAGCAGGGGGAAGAGAGGGTGCGAGGAAAAAGGGGGGAGGGGGAACCGGGAGACCTCGACAGGGGGACCGGGTGTAGTAGGACACTGACTCGTCGAACCGGACGTCACGAGAGTCTAGGAACTGGTGGATGGGCGGGTGGTAAAAGGACCAGCCGACCGAGGCTACCGGGAAACCAAGGAAGATACAGGGGACGGCGCGAGCCGAAGCTTGTCCGCAGAGGTGTCACGGACAAGCGCAAGGCAGCCCCAGAGACGAAAGGCTGACCCAACACCAGGGGACCCGGTCCAAAGACTGGTCGGTGAAGCCTCTGGCCGCGAGAAGCGCGGCTGGAGGTTCAGCTGGTGAGCGGCGTAGCGAACCGCGTAGGGCCATAGAAAATAGGGCGCACGGGCATGAATCATGGATGTGCGGGCGATGTCCATGACCAAGCCAATGCGGCGCTCAGCAACCCCATTCTGCTGTGGGGACTCCGGCAGCGTCCAGGACTGTACGATGCCCTGCTCGCCGCAGAATCCGGCAAGAATGCCTGAGCGAAACTCACCCCCACGGTTAGAGTGGAGACAGGAGACACGACGGCCACGAGTGCCTTCAATGACTAGAAGCCACCGGATCAGCGTAGAAGTCACCTCGGACTTCTTCGCGAGAGGAAACACCGTGGTGTACCTGGAGAAGTCGTCGACGACCACCAGAAAGTAGCGCTCCCTCTCAGGTCCCTGCGTAGGTGCAGAGCCCCAGACATCCAAGTGGAGTGTCTGGAAGGGAGCAGTGGCCGGACGAAGAGAGGAGGAGTGCAGAGTGGCATGAAGACGGTCGGCGACGCAAGGAGTGCACGGGGGTGCAGGCGAGGGAGGGAGCGACGGGAAGACGCGAGGGAGACCTGAGACGAGACGGTGACTAGCCATAGTGCAGAGGCGGGGGATCGACGGGTGGCCAAGACGGTGGTGGCACAGGATGGTCCGGTGGGTGAAAGACCAATACGAGCAAGACGCAGCAGCCTGACCAGACGCGACAACCGGAGGGGACGCAGCTACCTGACTGGACTCGTCAACCGGCGGAGGCGCAGAAACCTGAGGGGACGCAACGACCTCAGGTGACGTGGAAACCGGGGAGTGCTCGGTGTGGAGGATATAGAGACCGGAGCGCGGCTCCCTGGTGAACGTGGCCAAAACTCTGCCGGTGAGAGCGTCCGTACATAGTGCAGTCCGCCCACCCCCCACAAAGGCAACGGTGATCCCCCTGTCCTGGAGGTATCCAACACCCACCAAGTTCTGAGTGAACGAGGGGATGTGGAGGCCGCGCAGAACACCAGAGGGGACCACAGGGCACAGGAGGGTGGTAGAGCTGCGTGCCAT